ATCATTATAATTTCTTTAAGCAAAAATCAAATTAATGTACTATAATTGTATCTAATGTTAAAATAATTGAGATTATTATAGAGCTTTGTAATCTGATAAATTGATTTGTTATAATAATTTAATGAGCAATGTGGAAAATATATATCAAAAAATTTTGATTCTTTTCTGCTTATATCAAATTTCTATACTCATACATATCTATATATAATTCCATGCAACATTAATTTTACCATTTTTGAGTCATTGTCTTTCACCATTGTAACAGTTTTATATCAAATAAATATTTAATAAAATTATTTGCCCTCTTATATTTTAGGGCTATTATTAACCAAATGCTCGTATATATATACATATACATAATTATCTAGTTAGCGTATATAAAATATTTCAAAAAATTTTTTTAAAATAAATAACAATAAATTGACCTACATTCCTTTTTTATTAAAATTTCAGGAATTTCTCAATGTTCGTGTAATATACCCATGTTATATACTTTGTTAAAATTAAATTAATTATTAGAAACTGATAAAAAAAAGTCAGACGGATTTTTTTGTTTTTTGGACGTTCACAGTATGGTTTAGAAATACAGGCACTCTAGCAAATATTTTTTTTAATTAATGGGATGCAAGAAAGATTGCGAAAGCTTTTTAAATATTTTTCAATTTTATTATTCAATCTAATAAAATTTTAGATTTTAAGAGTCTGAATAGTCATATCATAAGAGCATATTAGAGTTAGACAATCTCTATACGGCACATATATCGTACGTAGGTCTTATGAATATTATATGCACATATTGCATCTTGCGTTGCTATACGATAATTGAAATATGAAAACGGGCGTTTTACATTTATAATTTTTGTGTTTTTTTAACCTAAAACAAAAAGAAATCCAATATATTTCTAAAAAATTTGGTTTTTGTTACCTTGTCTTAGTTTCAATAGAAACTAAGACAAGGTAAGAACACAAGAAAAAACTGCTCATGACCTAATCTTAAACAAACTTATTAGTATAAAATTTTGATTTTAAAAGAATTTGATTTCTTGCCTATAATAGGTATGACAATAAATATTAAGACCGCAGTTTGGATTTCAATAGAATCACAATTATTTTATTCAGTTTGTGCTCATTTAAATTTACTATGCAGCTTACAAGTAAGAAATTCAAGCATAAATTTTTATAATTCTAGAACTAATTAAAATATATAGAATATTCCTCTCGATATTATTTTAACGATTGACTTTATTTCAACATCTCAGATTTCCATTTTAAAATACGAATACATATAGATGCCAATTAAGTCATACACCATTTAATAAATGTACGTAAACCTAAATTCATGAATATACAAAACTTTAAATTGATTAACTAACATGTTACGTCACCCTGCAATAAATTGTAACATTAAATTTTTTAATAATTTAAATTCAAAAAGATTGATTAATTCTATATAAGTAGTTTTAATAAAAATATACTATAATAATAACATACATACCTCTTGGCATGTCTAGAATTAAATTATACATATACATATAAGAAATATCCTTTTTATATTGTCATAAAAATAAATTCGGTATTAAAGTTCTTTTAAAAATCTTTTGATCATATTTTCATTTTTTACAATAAATTTTTTTGACACACTATGTATAAATATAGTATGTAATACCTACATACATGTGTACATATAAAAAAAAAATATTGAATGGAAAATGTGCTCAATATTTTGCTTTAAGGATGCTCTGACATTATGATTACACAATGAAAGTCACAAATGCACGTGCCTCCCCCATTGTAAGACATTCATTTTTAATTTTTAATATTTATTATAGAAATAATCGAAAGAGAGAAAAAATAAATTTAAATTAAAATTAAAATAAAACTTTAAATCAAATAATTTTTCCATTTTTCCCCATTTCACTGACTAAAATCAGAAATTAGTAAAGATTTTATTCCACCTGTGATATAAAAATTATTCTTTTATCATAATTTTATGGTCTTTCATTATTACAATATTAAAATGAAAAGAGACATACTTGAATTTTTATAATTTTGAAAATGAAAAGGAATTCCTAAAATCACCCCTAAAATTATTTTCAACAATCATTTCAATAAAGTACCAAAACATTTTTTTTTTGTGTATTTTAAACCCCTAACTTTCGTAACATTAATAAAATAATAAGGATCCTTATTAATGTTTTATTATTATAATAAAAATGGTGTTATATAAAAGAAAAGAATGACTATATGATTATAGGATGAGTTGATATTATATTATTATCCTTAATAAATCATTTTTCGATTACATAATTATAGTATTGCAAGAGTGAGGACTATATAAAAAGACTAATACAAATAATAGGAAATCGGTTTGAAACTTTTTTTGGAATTAGATCAAAATTTTACCTTTTCAATAAGTTTTAAAAAGTTTAAAAAAAAAAGAAAGTTATTTTTATAAATATAGTTTAAATTAATATTCCAGTCTGTCTGTCTATCACTTCAGTCAATGAATAAAAGAATTAAAAACGAATAGAAAACGAGTTGATTTCGAAAATCTGATTTATCATCAGTCTTTAATATTATTTTGTATAACATTATACGGTAAAGGTACATATAATTTTGGTCTCAACTAAATTCTGCCATTTTTAATATGTTATTTATTATTAAATGTTTTTTTGAAATAAAGGTGTAATCTATAATGTAAAATACAGGTAGTCAAAATTGTATCTGACGTTCATTAAGCGACAATAAATAAATTACGCTGGAAAAACTTTCGTAAACAAATTTTGCATGCAACCATATAGTTGACAACTGCATTTGCAACAACATTTTTTTTTGATAATTTTAATTTTGACATTTTACTTACAGATTAAATTAAAATGTATTTCATCAAATAAAATTACTTAACCTCTTCAAAATTTCACATTTTACACAATAAACAAAATTAACAGATGAAATTTTTTTATTACAAAAATGTCAAGAAATTTTAACAATATGACCAGTAATTGACATCATCAATTAACATTTACATGAGGTTTTCTTATTTACATTACCGTTTACACTACAAATGTAGACATATTCTGTTGACAACATTAAAAGTTACAATGCTTTTGTTAACTGCAATATCGCAATAATGTGATGCAAAAGAAGTCAGCGTTTACATTTTACATTATCGGCAATGTTCATCTAAATTTTTAATGGAAAAAATGCTGTTTTATAAACATTGACTTTTATACTACACTTTTTCAATAAAAAATTTGATATATAAAGTTTTCATATTGAAAATTTTACTTTAAAATATTATTTTACCCTTGCTTATATAATTACATAATTATACTTTATATACATATGTATACTAACATAATGTAAGAATTAAATTTAAAGAATATTGCAGTCATATAATGAAATATGTTATATGAATTCTTTTTTGTTAAACATAACGACTGGATGAATAAAAATTCGACTTTTCTAACAGATTACCCATAATTTTTAAAAACCTCTTTCCAAAAAAGGATTTTTACCATTTTGTTATATGCGGATAAAATATTGTGATCCCTTACAATATTTGAATGAAATAAAATTCTTAACAATAAGAACTGATTGTTCTCATTTGATATTGAAATATTGCCAGGAGAGAATTACACCAAATAAATTTTGTACCTTTAAATATTTTTAATTAAAACAATTACTTTTCTTAGTAGCTACCTTTTTTTTATTGTTTTATTTTTTAAATTTAGCAATAATATGAAAATAATTTAATTTTTATTTAAAATTCAAAATTTTTAAAAATATATATTTTCTCTCCGCTCTCTCGATTACTTTATATTTTGTATATAGGTTTACAAAATACGGTTTATAACATTGTTATTTCTCTTTACATGATTTTCTTCTATATGTATTTACATAATATCGTCTTTCAGTATCGTCATAATTCATTATCCTTCATATCGTCATAATAAATTTCATCAAATTATAATGAAAAAATTTTTTAGGTGAATAATTTTGCTAAAATTAAAATTATATTTTATAGCGTTCTTTAAATGATTTAAATTCAAAAGAGGTTAAAATTTACATGTTTTAATTACAAAATAAAATACGAAAAGAAAAACAAAAACAAATTAAATATATGTGAGAGCCGGCTCGTAGGTTTTTACAAAATTAATTTATTTGCATGCCACAATACAATAATTGAATAATTAAAAGGATATTCATATGTATGTCTGTAAATGAATGTACTTCAGAATATAAAATTTAACAAATACAAAAAAAGATGATGACAATGATGACCATAAATTGGATTTATTACATTTTCATATAAATATATATAAATATTATTACTAACCGTAAATTAAATTAAAATCGCATGTATAATGACAATGAAAATAATTTTATACTTATAAATGTACCTAGATATGTTATACAATTTTATTATTTAAACAAACAATTTTTTTGAGAAAATATTTATATAATTTATAAAATATGATTTTTCTAGTTATTTCAAGGTTAGAATCTGTTTTCTAATATTGTGTCTTATAGGTTATTTATATCACAATTTAGTTCCAAAAAAGAAGGAAACATAGAGCTATTATATTTGCATATGTATAGTTGATTTTATAATTCAAATGAAAATATATTGTAAAAAACGATGATTATTTAGTAGTTGCAGGAAAAATTTAGTTTATTAGTTAAACAGAACTGGGGCGAACAAATTAATTTATTGGCAAATATTCTTAAATATATAGTTTTAACATATTTTCGAAAAACCCATAAATTGATTCTAAAAAACTAATAATCATTATTAGTAATATGGTATTTATACTCGTACACTATTTTGCACTTTTGTGAGTTATAACTACCTATATAGATTAGAAACTTTTATTTGCTTGTTGTTTTATTTTTAATTATCCTCAATTTATAATTTTTGTATTTATTAAATAATACATATATATATGTATAATATATAAATACTTAATAAATTAAAATTACTTTTTTCTCTTTTAAAGGAGATTTGACACCAAGGCAAAAATACCAATATAATACATACCAACATAATGTTACGAACATCAAATTACAAATTTGCAATTTTAGTTGTTATCTGTTTGGCTTTAATGTTTGAAAATATTTCAGCCTCTATGTCTAGACCACCCAGAAATAACGATGTCAGTAATATGGCCGAAGCTCTTAAATATTTACAAGATTTGGATTCATACTATGCTAATGTTGCCAGACCAAGGTACAATAATTATCATAATTATAAATTTGTTCTACAAAAATTTCTACAAAAAATAGAGAATTTTATAATATTAACAAAATACAAATAATAATATAATAAATTGTATGTATGTATATGCATACCTACATACATATAATTTAAATAATCTATTTTAAAAGCCTATAAAAATCCTAAATTTATGTCATAAACATTTTAAATGTCATTTTCAGAATTTTATTTATACAACTTTTTTGCTTTTACATTCTCACTCCAAATTTTAATCATTCCTTAATATTTTTTGAAAATTTAAATTTAAGAAAAAATTTCAAGAGAAAGTCAAATATGTATATATAGCTACATATCTATGCACATATTTATTTTTAGGTTTGGTAAACGTGCAAGTTTATTACAAATTTTAAAAGAACGAGCTGCAGCACAAGATGATAACGATTTGGTAATTTCAAATATTTAAAAATTTAAAATATGTTATACTCGCCATTATATATATATGTATGTAGTTTATAGTGATATACAAAAAACAATTTTTGTAATTACACAACGAACTACTTTTTTTTGAAGGAGGCTAGTGAGTGACAAGTTCTTTCAACTTAAAATAGCGCCGTTAAAAATGAAGTAGATCGTTTGTGTAATTAAAAAAATTAACTTCTGTATGTCACTATAAACTACAGGTATAAGCAATGGTAATACCTAATTTTAATGTTTAAGTTTTTAACACATTCATTTTTTACAGATAGACTGGCAAAACAAATACATACCTCAGAGATGAAGTGTTTTAACTACATATAAAAAATAAATAATAAATAATATACATTTATTAATAAAAAATAATCAAAATTTTAAGACCCACTGAATAATAACAAAATTTTGAAAAAAAAAAAAAAAATTAAAAATCTATATACATAATATACTATTACTTACCTTATTAACAGTATTGTTAAAAAATATATTTAATGTGTAAATATAAAAATTAATTATAAAGTAAATTTACTTAAATATTTTTCATATACATAAAAATCATATTATCATTTTTAAATAAATATAATAGTAAACATATACATTAAAATATATAATTTACGTAGTTTTAAATACTAAATTATTACACTAAATGAGTTAATTAATTCATCAGGAAATCGCAAGAATTAAATTCAATACTAAAATCAAAAAATATAAATTTTTAATAAATAAAAATTGGCAATATTTTTTAATTATAAGAATTAAAATTTTCAAAATCATTTTAGTGATAATAAAAAAAAACACAAAAATTATTTTAATATATAAAATTAAATTGATGGCTTCTATTTGGAAAATTATTTACACCTTATGTATGCGATTGATTATTGAATAAAAAAATAAAAAATAATATGTCATACTAAAATCCATTATTTAAAAAATTTTATATAAGTATTTAAGTTATCACAAAATAATATCAAAAAATTATTATAAAATTTTGTTTTACTTAATATCTAAAAATAATGTCAATTTCCTTAAAGAAAAATATGATAAATGTTAAATGTTTCAAAATGAAAGCTATAGAAGGCTTTAAATGAATTTAAGAAAATAAAAAACAAAAAATTTATCATTAATCAATTTATCTTTTATTTTATTTATACTTTAAAAATGATCTCAATTCAATTACAGTAAATCATCTTTTGTACATCGCAAAGAATTTGCGTCCTATCTCTATTTATATAAAAATTTTTTTTCAGATTTATGGCATTAGAAACACCAATAATGTAATATTCATATATAGGCAAATTCTTGAGTGTTACCACAGTGTTTAGCATAGATACTCGTATTGTTCAAATAGACAAAAAAAAAAAGTGTCATTTAAATATTTTATTATTCAAGCAAATTCTGTTCTTTTTGAAATTTCTTTATTATATTATAATAATTGCTATGATTAAAATTAACATAAGCAAGAGATGTAAACTTTGGCTTATATTACAAGTACAATTTGAAAAGGAAGATATTATAAAACAAACAAGTTTTTTTAAGAAAATTCAAAAAAAAATATCTAATATTTTCGGACTACGTTATATTCAAAATTTAAAGCTAGTACTAATGCTCAAAAGTTCTACCTCAAAATTATACAGCTTCCATATACATAACTAAACATACACATACAAACTCTCACACATAATATACGTACATAGTTAGTACTTTACTGAAAATTTAACACTGTTAGAAATGCCTCCGTTATTGTAATATTTTTTGAAAATAAAAAAATATGGAGTCAAATAACCATTTAATTGTGCCGTTTGGTTTTTTTTCAAGAAATACATACCATTTTTTCCGTTACAATTAAGATCATAACATATGACAATAAATTGCAAGTAGGTAATTATTGTATTTGCACGCGTGCGGAAATTTTTGAATTATGTAAATATGAAAACAAATCAAAAGAAATTCAAGAAACCCAATATATTTTTTAATCCTCGTTTAACGAAAATCCAACAAAACATAAATAAATATAATTACAACCCAAGAAAAAGAATGAACTTTTATAATAAGATTCATAAGGAAACTATACCAGTTCGAAATTCAGATTGTAATAATTTTTCCACTACTTTTTCTAATTTGTTTGGCAAATTAGATAATGAAAGTTTTATCAGATTAAAAGAATCATTTTTTGGAGAAAAATATTATTCAATAGATTCTTTTTTTAGTAAAGATATCGTACAAGATAAAATTAATGCAACATCATCTGCTAGTCAATTAATAAAAAATAACTTTTATCCCAAATTTACTTCAACACCATTTACAGGAGAAAAACAAAATGAACAATTTTCAATAATTGAACCGATATTGGAAGATGATCCTCTACAAATTTCAGTTGATGTTAAGTGTACAAATAATTCATTTCAAGGTAATAAAAATAAATTTTGTTAATGTGTTGAACAAAATATTATTTTTATTAAATATTGTTACAAAATCAAAAATTAGGACAATCATCAAAAGGATTCCAAAATAAAAATTCAAATTTTCTCCCAACACATCATGACCACCGGCAAAAAAATAACTCAAATGAATTTTCATTTAGTATGGGAAGCTTTTTTTACAAAAACACTTTTGATTTGAGTAGCAACTACAACGATGAGATTAGATCCATTTTGAATGAAAAAGAAGCATTTACTTATGAAAACAGTAAAGATATTTTTTTTAGTAACAAAGAAAGTGATTCAAATTTTCTTCCAACATATAATTACTTTCGCAAAAGTAACTTACATAATTTTAATCAACCATCTTTTAATGTGGAAAGTTCTTTTGACAGAAATTATTATGATTTAAGCAGCAATTTTAATGATAAGTGTAAATCTATTTTCAATGAAGAAGACGAAACTTTTACTAACAAAAATTTTAAAGATATTTTTGTGTGTAACAAGAGCGATGATACGAATTCAAACGAAAGATTACTAACAGGAAGTTTATCGTTGAAATCTTTTAATAGAAACTCTTTTGAATGGCCTGAAATAAAAAATTTGACAAATACATTTAAAAAAAATACAGTAAGTAGGTATTCTATCACTTAAATTTTCAAATTGCCATTATCTTTAATTAAGTAATAAACTGCTTTGGCGTTTTGAATTTCTTTTAGAAAAGGTCAAGAAAAGAAGCGAGTCGTATATTCGAACTTCCTCTGACCACAAATAATTATAACACTAAGTTCAAAAATCAAAATTTATTTTATAAAAAAAATAAATCTAAAAATATTGAAAAGAAAAAATTCGAAAATTCAATTGCAAACAAAGAAGACGGCAATTGTTATCCAAGTTTAAGTCAAAATAATAAAATCTCAAAGAGTGATAACTTGATAAAAAATAGACTTCTTATAACCAATTTCTCATTCCAGTCAAAAAATTTCCTCCCTGGGAAAGCTGAATCTTGCAAACCAAATGACTTAAATAGTTTTCACTTCACTGAGCATACGTACAAAAGCATAAATGATGAACCATTTAAAAGTAATAAAGACGAAGAAACTTTTCCACCCCGAAGCTTAGAAAATATTTCCTCGAGAGGTGGTCGCTGCCTAACGTGCAAAGAAATAAGAAAAAATAAAAAAGTTAGCCATTGGCTAGACTGCAACAGCTTAATTCAAGACAACAAATCATATGAATTACAAACAAAAACTAACAATATGTCTAATAATTTGAAACATTTGGCGAAAGGAGGAATTAATAAATGTACTTTACCGAATCCTCAAGAAGAAAATATAAACTTTTTAAGGTCAGTTATGAATTCTAATTCGTCCAAGCAATACTTTATATTTTATAACTAAAAAAAAGATCTTAGAAAATTTTGAAAAAATCTTTGAAACAGAATCATAAATTATTTTTATTATTAACTATAACTTTGTAACATTTAATTGGAAAAATAAAACTCATTTTATTTAAGTTCTATTTCTTCCAATTGTTTAATTAAATCCATATGCTTGAAACTATCTGGTTTTCTAGTGAAATTTTCTAAAAGTTTTGATCTGGCAGGATCATCGCTACTATAATAAAGTTGTAACTCATTTGCAAGGCATTGTGCTTCCTGTGGACTTAACACTTGATGATCAAATTCACCACGCATTAACACCAATCCTTTATCCTTCATTTCAGTATAAAATATCATGTTGAGACACTCTGGAGCATTTTCATGATGAACCTAAAATATATTTTTATAATGAAGATATTTTACATTTTTAATATAATTTATCGAAAATGTTCATATAAAAATATTTAATTAAGTACAAACATATTAAATATGCAAATCAAAACAATGTGTACCTATCGTCGGTTAAAAAGCAGAAAGCACTAAGTGCATTTTTTGAGAATTCGGACTTCATAGATGAATTAAATCAGAATAATATACTCTTTGTTGTGGCAAAAAATCATGCAAATCCAGAATGTAGTTTATAAATCCAGAAATTTGAGAGACCAATCCCATTGCAATAATTGATTAGTTTTACAATTTCACGATTTTTTCAAATTGACTTTACTCAAAACACAGTTTCCTGACTTTATGCTTTCTGCTTTTTAACCGACGCAATGTACATCAATTACACACAACATTGCCAACTATCTAAAATTTAAAAAAAATCTCATAATTTGATGCTCTGTAGCAATGAAATTTGGAAACATATTACTAATTCTAAAATTCAACTACCTACATACATACATACTTATAAATATGGGTATTTCGGAAAAGAAGTAACACGGTATATACTCATAAATACTGCACAAATTTTTTACGTTTTTTCAGCTAACCGCACAATTATGGTTACAAATAATGTGCATGATTTTTTTACGTATTAGTTACATATTAAGTAATATGTAACCCCCTAGTAAATAATTTAACAATATCTTTCTGTAAATTTGGTTATTCTTATTAAATTTTATTTTAATTTTAAATTTATAAGAAAAATTTTTTTTAAACTAAGTTAGCTGCCAAAGTTGGTAATTTTTATTAAACTGCATATTTTTTTACAAATAATATTTGTACAGTATAGTACTCGGCCTCTCTATATTACAACGATATTTTGTACCCTAATTTTCCAACCGTTACTATGTAAATGTTGAATATTTTAGATTTATATAATATGTACTTGCATAGTGCAGATTTCAATTATTTTTTTCCAACCAATTTGTAGGAAAACGAAGTAGCATTAAAATAATTCAGTAGACAATAGTTACAACCTTATGTAAACACTTATTTTTTTTATTGCAAGGTATGTACCCGATTCGTCTCAATTAGATGTCACAAATAAACTAATTTGTGACCCAAATTTTTAGCTGTCAATAAAATGTCAACAAAAATATGGTATAATATTGAGCTTGCGGAGCTCGCAAAAGTCAAAAAGTTAAGGGAGAACAAAATAGGGTAGACATTAAATATTAATATTTATTTTTCCTTAACCTTAATTAAGAAAATAAAAGATGACATTAAAAAAAGATTTAAAATTATTAGTAAAACCGTATTATTGGATTAATATACTCTTGAGCTTATCATATGTAATTGCAAAAAGAACTCCGATTTTATGCAACTATGTTTTTTATCATAAAAATGAAGAAAGATGTGAACTTGACGGGAGAGAAACTGAAATTTTATTTTTCTTGCTAATTGTTATAATGATTAGATCACGAAAGACAGGAAGTGTTACTTTAATTAGTTATTTGACATCATCATTCATATATACGAAAATAGCTAATTTAATATTATGGACTTATGGAGATTTTCGCTTTGGAATTGGATTTTTAATTTTATTCGTACTATTGGGACTGTTATTCCCAGAGCCAACTTATACAGGACCAGAGCATGTGACTTATTTCCGAAGTGCTGATGCATTAGAAGAAGAACTAAAGCGCGACAAGAAAAATATTTGGCTTATTTGTTTCTACACCGTGTGGAATCCAGCGTGTGTTAATTTTGCACCCATATTTGCAAGTTTATCAGCTGAATATCATTTAAATACTTTACGTTTTGGAAAAATCGATATAGGCAGATTTCCAGAAGCTGGAAAAAAATTCCATGTATCAGATAATTCTTTATCAAGACAATTACCGACAATAATACTATTTAAATATGGAAAAGAAGTTGATCGAAGACCTTTTGCCGACTCAAAAGGAAAATTACAAAAATTTTTCTTTTCAGAAGACAATGTGAAAGCTGCATTTGAATTGAACAATCTGTATACCGAATCTAAATCACACCATTCAAGCACAAAAGCTATTGCAAAACACACTAAAACCGAATAAATTGTATTATTAAATTATTGTGCATTTGTTAAATTATTTTAAAAATCGTTTAAATAAAAAATTAGAAAAGTAATTTAGTAAATATTAAGTTTCGCCAAAAATGTTATCAATACATAATAAAATCTAGAAATATAACTTATTTAAATTCTCAAAGCATCTTTTAATTTCCATTTCGAATTTGAAGATATACGGTTGTATGTGATGCACATAAAGTACGTTAAAACCTACCCTCCATGAATGATAGGTAATCACTTATCTAGATAAATTAAAAGTAAATACTAACCTGATAAGCTAAAAGTGGTGTAAAATGAACTGTATTAGCTGCAAATTGAAGCATTATAAATTCATATCCCTCACTTCTTGGTAAAGGCAGTAAAAATACTGGATGCAATTTTCCGCGTTTAATCAAAGTATCGTATTGATCATTTGTTAACACTGCAGCTATTACGTCTTTATTTTTGTGATATTCAAGCCAAATATGCTTAACATCATCAACGTTTTTGTCTTCCAAGAGCTCTAATTTCATTATATCACTTAATTTTTTATGTGCAACTTCGGTTGTTGTGCTTGAAGGCATTTTCGGTTTTAAAAGCTCTGAATAATTTCTATACACGTAACAAAAATTATAAAAGGATTTTATGTGCATACATTGTATTACATATTGAACTCAACTCAAGAATTACCTTTCCGTGCTTTTTATAGGATTACTTGCTTGGGAAACTTTGTCTACTCTTTCTAAAAATTCTTGCGGGGATGTCTGTTGAAGCTTAGCTATTTTGCTTGCATATTTTTCATAATAGGGGTTTTTGTTTTTCATCTCATCTAAAACTTCTTCAGCTCTTAACATTGCAGACATTTTTATGCTCCTTTTCAAAAAAGTTGGGAAAAAATCAATTCTCTTAAAAGAGCGAAAACATGCCATAACAATTAAAGAAACAAAAATAATTTGAAAACGTCAGCCACTACAATTCAAAAATAAATAAATATATTCAATTTTTTAACAACCACAATATTAATCTTATTTCTAGCGATACATTTATTATCCTAAAACCAAAATCTAACCTAAAAAAACATTAGATATGTTCATAGTATCATTCCTAATCAAGAAAAAAATTATAATTTGCTTGATTATCTTCAGAATTAAAAACAACTGTCAAACTTTTGCCCCATCAAATTATTTTTTAGGGCGAAAAATAATTAAAATATTACACATTTAAATTGTTTCTTAGACTTGTATATACTTCTATCATTGTCAATATTTTGTTGGTTTGAAAGTTTAAAAACTGCGGTATTTTATTTTCAAATGAAATAAAACTATTGTAATTCGCAGGGCCAATGACAATTAAAATTGAACCCAATTCGTATTTCATTGAAAAAACATTTGAAAGCCAAGCTTAAACCAAGAAAATGTGTTGTTGATATCAAATTCAATGTGGGTGAAATTTGAACTGAAACCCCGCAAAATATCTAATAAGATTATACCTTTTTACATTCCATGGTAAATAAAATGAAATGAAATGAAAGGTTATTTTTACGTATTTTATGAACAGTCCCTAAAATCTTTGTCTGACAAATGACAATTGACATTAAAGTAAATACGAAAGATACGTGTCAATCAAATTGCAATATATGTATACACATTAATATTTCTACTTGAAAACTTAAAAAAAATTATCGTAGAATATAAAAAATGGTTTTACTAGACAATAGCTCTGTAAGTAAATTGATTTTTAAAAGTTTTCAGTTTTTATCTAGAATATTTTGCAGTTTATTGTAGCATTAGAAAAATTTGCAAGTGGATCTAAGTTAAATGGGTCTTTTACTGTTACTTTTAAAAAATGTAAGTACATTACATTCTAACTCAATTTAACCTATAATAAATAATAAAACTAATTGAAATCATTTAGTTGATGGACATAATAAGCCGAAACCCAGAGAAGGTAGGCCTCCTTTAAAAGAACCTGATGAATATTTGTGCCTTGTAAGAGCACAATTCAAATCTAAGAAGGTATGCTTCATTTAAATGTTTTCATATACTCGTACATAAAAATATGCTTAATTGCATATTTATAAATTCAATCATGTACAAAATTTTTCATTAAATAAGTGTGTAATATAATACTAGTATTTTAAAGAAATTTTTACATTTCATTCTAGGTATCAACATTAGTTAGGCCAGAAGATGTTCCACGAATGATGAGTATATATTCTCAATTTATGAAAAGTAATATGGATGGTTTGAAACGAATTAAAAAAGTCAAAACTAAAACAAAAGCAGCAAAAGGCTAAGTTAAATTAAAAAAAACTTATATTTTTATTGTTTTTCTTTTTTAATTTTCCTTTAGTAAAAAAATAAGTTTTTAAGTACACATTTGTAAACCTATTTTTGCAATTTAAATATATAAGAAAATATATCGATGTAATTCAAAAAAAAAAAAAAACAAATAAAAACAATTTTTTATTAAACGTATTTTAATTGCTATTCTTTAAATTTTTTTAAAAATTTTGAAATATTCTTATAATAAAGTAGAAACTTAAGATTGAATTAATAAAAAATGATAAAGTAAACCACATTATCATGGAAAATTATGTTATATTGCTTAATAAGTTTAAAATATAGACTCCTAAATCTTCATCTTGATTCGTCCATGAAACATACACTAGTTTTTGATTTTGATCTGCAGGATTATCTTCAATCTTGATTTCAACACTTTCAACAACTATAGAGGAACTTTCCTGTAAGCTTAATGACCATCCCGTTAATTTTTCCTTTAAAACATTATACAGCCTTTCTATAGTCCTTAATTTAGGCGCGGCGTCGGCAAAAATAACTTTTGATGTAAATCTCATTACATGCTTATTAACACCAATTTCCTTATAAGCTTCATTAAGCTCCATTAGCTGTATACGATTTTCTTTCATTACCAAGATACCATGAATTAAACGTTTTCTTTTCGGATCAGGTGGTTGAGCGTTATAAAGTTTTGCCTCTGCTTTTAGTAAAGATAATGAAGCGTCTACTGGAATCTTAACGGGGGTTTGAATGACACATGTTTCACCATTAGCTGGCATGTAACATTCAATTTTGAATTCTTCTTTGATTTTATTTTTAAGAAACTCCATCTTTTCTGCTTCACCATGTACAAGCATTACATTTTTTGGTTCACAATACTGTATTAACTGCATTATTCCCTTAGCATCCGCGTGAGCGCTAAAACTCATATATTCTACTGACATTTTTACCTCAACTACCTGGCGATTTTCAAACTCAACTTTTTTCGCACCACCTAAAATTTTATGCCCGACAGTTCCTTGAACACAATATCCTGGCATAATCACCATATTATTTTCATTAGGAGCCCATTTTTTAAATATCTGTAAGGACAAACCAGCATGCAACATTCCAGGAGTAGCAAACACAACCATAGCTCCTTAAAAAACAATAACATTAATATAAAAATGTAAAACTTATTACAAAAAGTTACCTGGGTTATCAATATAGCTTTTGTCAAAGGGTTTAATGTGTTTGTAATCAAACATATTTCTTTGAACAAATGTTTTTCGGATTTTTTGATTAGTCCACGTAATAAACATTTTATAGTACGTATTAGCTTTTTCTGTCAAACCAAGAGCAAAATATATAGGATATTTTAAATTCATTCTTTCCCAATAAGTCTCTAATAAAATACAAAGTTCTTGTGCTCTACCAAGAGCAAACACGGGAATAAGTACTTTTCCACCTTTAGCGACACATTCATGAACTTTTTTTAGAAAATCCCTTTCACGACATCTCTTAGAATCTCTTATTGTTGTAGCATACGTACTTTCCGTTATTAGCAAATCGGGATGACACCTGTCTATCCAAGCAGCACCTAAATGACGATCTGGTGTCATATTATAATCACCGGTATACACCACAGATTGGGATCCAACACGTATCCAAAACATCGCAGCTCCTATAAACATTCAAAAATAAATCATTTAATATTGACCAATTTTTTTTTAAATATAACTAAGTTACCTAAAACGTGCCCAGCGTAGTACGCTTTTATTTCTAAATCGTTATCAACCATAACGCTTTGATGTAAGGTAACAGCAATAACCTTCTTCATACAATCCTTTATCATTTGTGTGGTAAAAAAATTGGACTCCCCTTTACGTTCAACGGCAACTTTACGCATATCTTCAAGTAAAATTGGGGCAATAGCCTTTGTTGGATGTGTCATATAAATAGGGCCATTATATCCAATCATTTCAGACATGTAAGGTAATGCTCCACAATGATCTGAAAATTAAAAAAATTTTATATCAACTTTTAAAACAATATTAATTACAGACCTAAATGAAAATGAGAAATAATAACGCAGTCTATATAAGACGTTATCGGGCCCTCTGGTACAATATAAGAGAAATCTGGGAATCTACGTTCATCATTGTATCCCATATGCATTCCGCAATCCAGCATAATATTTTTACCACCCATAGATAACAACAAACAACTTCGCCCAACATCTTGTCCAGCCCCTAAGGGCGTTATTTTAATTTCCGGCATATTTCAATTTTATAACAATATTTTTTTAGCAAAACGTTGGGTTCTCACATAGATAATTAATTCTGTAATCAATGTTGAAATTTGTAGTATTACTTTCGTATGACGTTTGTTTACCAGTTGAATGTATTTGTCATTTACTTTAGTCAGTGAGCTGAGCACAAACCGCACTAAACGCCATGATCATATGATTTTCAGTTCAAGTGTTGGTACCATTTTGAATTATATTTTCATATTATTACTACAACATCCTTCGAACCAATACTTTTTTAATAAATAAAAAAATAAACTTAAAATTTAATCCTGTCTTGCGAAGGGACTTATTTTACTATATTAAGGGTGAAAATAACTTTTTATATAAAAAAATTATTTTCTTATTTTTAGAAAACTTAATAAGGAATTAACAAAACAAGTGTTTGACAAATTATTATTTGAACATTAAAACAAACAATTAAAACATATATGGTATTTATTAATACAATAAAGTACCTTATTGCATTAATTAATCATTTATAAATAGCTAAATCTTTTTATTATATTAATATTAGAAATTCAGTATTTCCCACATATGTTTTTTTACAACTAAATAAAGTGATACATTTTTTGTGGATTTTAACAAATATTTTGTTTTAAAGATTGTACGAAATAGAGACACCTATGTAGATATTCAAATATCATCTACCAATGCTTTTTTTCTTTAACGGCAACACTGGTAATACAAGTGATAATTTGACAATTGATAACAAATTGGTATTGTTATTCAAATTAATTATTGTCTAAAAATATTTTAATTAGTATTTAAGTTTATTAAAAATTATGCAAAGCTTATGAGAATCAAAACAAAATTTTATAAAAGTTTTGAATTAGTAGTTAATTTTTTAAAGTTTCCAATAAGCTAATGTATATTTTAAAGTATAGAAGGCTTTTTCCAGTAAAATTATTGCAAAAGCCAGCGCAAAGTTCAAAAATGAGTTCTGAAACTGCTTCAAAACCTATTGCCGCAATATGCCATATGAGAAGTACTTGTGATAAGCAAAAAAACTTAGAACAAATTCGACAAATAATAAAAGAAGCTAAAAGTAAATTGGCTAAAGTAAACAAAAATTAATGAAAATTGTCGTTGTTCTTTATAACTAAGCTATTAATTTTAGATGGTCTTTATTCCAGAATGTTGCGATTTTGTGGGGGAAAGTAGGGTTCAAACATTAGAGCTATCAGAACCACTAGATGGCCGATTATTGAAAATATATTGTGATTTAGCTAAAACCGATAAAATCTGGTTATCTTTAGGTGGTGTCCACGAAGCGTTGGTAGACAGTGAGGGTATTAAAGCGAATAAAATTTACAATACGCATGTTATAATCAACGACCTGGGAGAAATTACCGCCGTTTATAGAAAACTACATCTTTTTGATGTAACTACTCCTGATTTTAAATTCAAGGAGTCTGAAGTTGTCGAAAAAGGAAGGGAAATCGTCTCACCAGTAAAAACACCTGTAGGAAAAATTGGACTTCAGATTGTAAGCTTAAATAAGCACTCTTATGCTAGAATCTGTGCGGAGACTTCAATGATATTGTGATTTTGATGTATAACCATAAATCTTACATTGATTTATTTCCTATCATATCACTTAATGGGTCTTAGAAAATTCTTGAAGGTATCAAAATACATTGTGTAGGTAAATGAAAACTCGTAAAATACTTTGTGTACCTGCCATATCCAAATAACGTATTTTCACTCTGTAACTTCGAGATGTTACTATGTATGTTACTATTTTGCTTTATTTTTTTTTAAGATACGTTCATACATACTTTGTGGTACATTTATTTGGCCCACTTGCTAGCATAACCAAACATCAAAATTTAGGATGTCATGTTTTCCGTACAGATAAAGGATAAAGTTGTATATTATATCATTGATAAGTTTTACCATATTTCAGTGTTACGATATGCGATTTTCAGAACCGAGTCTTATATTAAGTAAACAAGGTGCAGAAATCTTAACCTATCCATCAGCGTTTTCTTATTCAACTGGGAAAGCGCATTGGGAAATATTGTTGAGAGCTAGAGCTATTGAAAATCAATGCTATGTTATAGCTCCAGCTCAGATTGGTTGGCATAATAAAAAGAGACAAAGTTTTGGACGAGGAATGGTAAAAAAGTTGATCGTTAATTGACCCTCCTACATTACATTTTTTTATTTAGATAATTGATCCATGGGGCAAAGTAATTGCAGAGTGTGATAGTACTAAAGATATAGACGTTTCTGTGGCGGAAATTGATCTTTGTTCATTGAAAACAGTTCGCGAAAATATGCCTTGCTTTGATCATAGAAGATCGGACATTTATTCTCTTATACCATTGTCTATGCAACATTGTAGTGAAGGAGCTAAACATGATCAAAGTTTCGCTGAACATACAATTGACAAGAGAACAATATTTTATGAAACTGATTTATCATTTGCTTTCACTAATATACGATGTGTCGTACCAGGACGTATACGAGTTTTTCGAAAGTGTATAATTTATTTTGTTAATTATTTTATTATTTTATTTTAGATGTCCTGGTTGCGACTAAGAGAATTGCTCGTCGCTTAAAAGATTTAACAACAGACGAAATATCTGATATTTTTCAAGTGGTTGTTAAAATACAAAAGATGTTGGAACCTATGTACGGCGCATCTTCCTCCACTGTTAATGTGCAAGATGGACCAGATTCCGGGCAAACAGTTGCTGTATGTAAAAGATATAAGTATCTTATAAAGACGCATGCTGAAAAATTTCTTTTTAGCATGTTCATTTTCATATTATGCCTAGGAGAAAAGGAGATTTCGCCCATAATGATTTGATTTATACCGAACTTAATAAACATGATCATTGTCCGGAAACTGCTGCAAGAAGCTTAAAAGAGAGAATTGATGAAGCTGAAAAATATCGCCAAAAGTTGAAATGTATATATGTATGAGAGAATGCAAAATATATTAATTGCACTATTTATTTTATTAAAAAAAAATACAAAAACAAATCTCAGAGAAATTGAAATGTTAGTTAAAATTTTAGTAAAAAATGCAGTTTTACAATATTTCACTAATGAAAATAAGAATTAAAAAAAATGTTTATAATAAAAATAATTCAGAAAATATTTTAAATAATTTGTAAGTTTTTTATTTTAAAATAATTTTATTAAAAATGTTTTTAAACCTTTAAATTACTGCAATTTTCGATCGGTTTTTGCGGCAGGTTTAACTTAACTTACATGTTATATTATGCTCAAGCTGAAATTCAATTCTCTTAAGTATATCCATGTTGATACGTATTGGGAATATAATTTTTATGACCTTCCTTAGATGACTGTGCTTAAACATATCTATCAAGTATGTATACCACAAGCACATAAATTCCAATACAAATGATACGTGCATTATTTAGTTTAATATCATGCGTTGGAATTTTCATAACAAATCAATTAGGTACTTTTCAAACTCTAATTCTCTATCCAATTGCAAATTAACTGTTGCATCCTGGTGTTTATCGGTTCTTTCCAACTCTGTCTCTTTCGTTTGGTTACTGTTTGAGATGTCCTTATTCGTTTTCGATAATTTTGAATCTTTGTCCGTTTGATCATCAGAAAATAAACTTTTGTATTTTTTTTCTCGTTTTAGCTCTTTTTTCTTATGTCGATAATTCAATTTAGAGGAGCATGTCTTGCACAGCTTAATCTTAACTAACGCATTTTTTTTTATTCCTGCTTCAATATATCCAAAATTAACTTCCCATGTGCGGAGCAAGTTCTGTACTGAACAAAGTTTTTCGGCGCATATAAATTGACCCTTACCAATAAAGACTTCTTTATTGGTTCGCCATCTTAGAGCTATTTTGTTCTCTTTATATTTTGTCAAGTCGCAAACGCAATATTCTTTAAATAGTTTATCATAATATTTTTTTGCTAATTGTTTTCTCCACGTTAATTCAGTTTCAGATAAATTTTCATCCCAAATAAATTGATGGTTTTCCTTAATAATAGAAAAATCATTTTTATGTATAGATGAAGGTTTTAGTACATATTTGCACAAAACTGCTTGATGCTTCTCTCGAGAGGTAGGTTCTTTCAAATCTTGCATGATCTTAACTTCATTTAATCTAAATATCTAAATAAATAACACGATGCGGACTACAAATTATGAAAACTCCCATAAAATCAAATTTGACAAATTGAAAATTAGTAGGGTTGGATTGCATTATAATGAAACAATCAAAGTTCTCACAGCTGACAGAAAAGTGTCAAGATTACGTTTTTGCTATGTCAAGAAATTAATTTTTTGGTTGGACATACATATATATTTAGTATGTGTAGTATACACCTTGACATACTAAAAATATCAGCCTTATTTCTGTCCGCTGAGGTACATATATTTTAAATCTGTGAGACAGGAAGCAATAATAATTCAAAGAGCATGCAATTGTATCACGTGATAATTTCATTATAAGTTGAAAACAGAACAATAGCTATTTTTCGCGGCGAAGTGTCAGTATTCCAAATACATACACTTAAAAGAGACTGCTCAGAATCAAGCGAAATTGTTGTCGCGAATTTGACCGCCGGCGATGATATAGCCTAAATTCATATTTTACCCCTGGAAGTTTCTTTTGACATTATTTGTTTCCACGTGTGTGAAACTTTATGTGTTACAAATGGAAATGGTCCGACGTTGCCTTTCTTGGTTATATGTTTACAATAATTATTGAACGTTTTTTAAAGGAGAAAGATGCATCATTTATAAAACTATTAGTTCGAAAGTGACACAAAGAAAGGTATTTAATTATTCGTAATTAATGGCGGACAAAAACAAATGGGTTTTTTTGTATCCGCTCTAATACTTTATTGACGTTTCTTTTGATTCACAATCTTCTTTTTACATAATTCCGTACAAATTAAATTCATGTAAATGTGTATTTCTAACAATTTTATTAAAAAAATCTCAACTTTTAAACTATCAAAAAATCGAGAGTATAATTTTTTATAGGAGAATTTTTTCTTGGGCAAGCCTATTATCGATATGTATGCACGTTTACAGACATGTATGATAGTAAAGTCCCGTTTATATATGGATGTGTATTCTATATGAATTTTGACATTTCGCGTCGGAAATTCGGTTCTTTTCTGTTGCTCACTTGTATGATTTTGTTCCTATATAAAGAGAAAATTTTTAAAATTTTACCAAAAAAATGTATTTTAGCTAAAATTTCTAAAGTCAGCATATTTTTGACTTCTTTGGCAAATTAGCAATATAATTGCAGGTTTTTGTTTTTATTGTACTGTGTAATAAGCAGAGAAAGTATCTAATATAGAGATTCTTCTTATCGTACACGTAATATAATAACAATAAATAATATAATATATTATTATGTATGATCACACAATATGCTTATATATTTAAATGTTTTGTTCTAGTCGAGGTAGTGTGGTTGTTCTCAGTTTGAACATATAGACATAGCGCAAAAAATGTGATACATACGTATATACAAACTATTCACTGTTTGGAAAATATGAACCTTTGAAAATTTTGGTTTGTTGGTAGTGTTAAAAGCATATAAACAGCGCAAGTTCGTAAAGCCTGATTGTCAATATTGTCAAACTATACTTTCAAATGTAGATATATTATTTCAGTAAGAACTCGAAGAAAAGTTTTTTGTACAGGTGTAAATTTTTTTTCCACTTTTGTGTAATTTTGCAATTAAGAATATATTTTCTCATTCAAATTTCTGAAAAAACTGAAAACATCAATTTAAAATAGAACTTACAAAAAAAATATATTTTTTATGAGTTTGGAACTTTTTAAAACGGATTAATTTAATTCATACATATACCATTATCAAAAATTTTTTTGAAATCTTATATTAATGTTAAAATTAAACTATTTTTATATAAGCATTATAAGAAAATTGTAGAAATAATACTGAAAAATTCACAAATAAATTAAAAAAAATTTTTTTAAGGTTCCGTAAATAATCAATTCAGTGTGTCCCTGAAAATGTCATGTTGAATATTGTGTGACGTTATTTTCCTAACGATTACGTTAAAATTTACAAAATTTCAATATAATTTTTAACAACAAGGAGTGCGTCTTGGAAATCACATCGGAAGTATCTAATGGCTAACCCAATACCACCTTTGGTTTGTTCAACACCTCCGCCTATAGATGGTAGTTTTCGATAGTTAAAAACATAACATACACATACATATATAAAATTGTTTTTATAGATTTTGATGAAGTTTCACAAATCGACGACAGAACTGATACTGACTATGGCGAATATGAAGCTAACACTGATGTCGAATTCGGATCTTTTGAAGGTAATATATAATTTAACTTATCCCAAATGCTGTTATATAACAGTGTATTTTGCCAGGTCCCTCTCTACCTAATACACCTAGGCATATTAACATTTCTGACATTATAACAGAAGATAGAAACAATAGTTCTAGTGAATGTGATATCAAAAATGTGGAAGGGTCCTCGTCTCAAAATGTTACAAGTGATGAGATCGAAAGCTTTCCCATAGAAATTTCTGAAGAAGATGTAGTTACAAATATTGAAAAAATTTCACTTAAGGAAGCTGTAGAGGAAAATGATGATAGTATTAGTATTGAAATTGCAGCAGATGAAGAAAAGGGAGAAAACGAAAGCAACGTGAGGCAACCAGATCCTTATGAGTGTAGATGGGAGAAATATGAATCACCACCTTCTTTGGAGCTATCTTTGCAAGTAGTTTCCGAAGAAAATGATTCTTGCGAAAAAATATCAAACGATGGCAAAGATTTAGATAAATTCGACAACGATGAACAATCAATTTCGAAATATGAAAGTTTGGCTTCAAAAGAAGATTCTGTAGAAATTTCAATTACAGACGGAAAACTTCCTGAAAAAGCCACAATAGAATTTCAAGATTTTCTGAAAGATACTTTAGTAGAACATGTGCTAAATAAGGTAGAAGTTACAAGTAGTGAAAGCGATATTGGAAGAAATATTGATAGCTGTGAAGCAATTTCTCCAAAAAAAATTGAAGATGAAAATATTGATAAATCATGCGTTTTAAGTTTTACTCAAACTTACAACATACACGAAAACGAGTCGGAATTCAATTCACCCCCAGGCTGTGAAATGATAAATAGCGAATTGATAGGAAATTCTGTTCCAGCGGATAACTTAGTTTTTGAAGCAGATTTTAGTCAATTTGAAAACGCTTTGCCATTAAATGCAACAATTAAAACTGAAGATAGCTATTTTATTTGTGAAAATGAAATTGAAAAAAGTGCTGGTTTATCTTGTGAGAAAATTCCAAGCATTCATGATTTAAAACTAGGAAATGAAAACTTTTCTTCATCGTTAGATGACAATATAGAAAATCGTTTTTCAAATTTAAATACTATATCTAAAGTGCAAATCGATTTAGAAACTGAAAAAATCGATGATTTCGACGAAGAATTTGGAGAATTTAGCGATTTCAAAGATGCTTCCATTACGGCAACTAACTATACTATGAGCAAAGTAGAAAATGAGAAGATGTGCAACCCACAGAAAACTGAAACAGTTTCCTCAATTTTGGACTCTATGTTTCCACCCTTCGAAAACTGTAGTGATAATGGTGATAAGAATGATAGTAAATCTATAAGAGAATTAGCTGAGAATTATTCTATCTTAACGAATTATGATTCTGCTAACGCTCTCGGTTATCAGTGGAGTAGTTCAAATACAAGGCATTCGCTTATAAAATCATTAGGTATTGATTCAAGGAACATTGTAAGTGTATCTTATTATTGTTTTTATAAGATTTTTTTAGTTACAAAAGATTTTTTGGCTTTGGTATTTTTTCAGTTATATGGAGAAAAATGGAATTGTTCAATGCCAAAGTTTGCATCAAATTTAGGATTTACACCTTTAGAACCATTAAAACCAGCGAAAGTAGACAGTAAAAGTCAACAACTATCTAATTCAGTAATTTCAAATAGTTGTAATGGAACAAATAAACATAACCCTATCCCAGATGCTGAATTTGATTGGAATAGTTCTGGTTTAATTAATCCTTTAGACGGTAAGCTGAATATTTAAGAAAATTCCTAAAACTAATTTTGCTAAAAGCTTTTTCAAGTGGTGCAATTTTAAGTTCTAAAATTTATGTTGTTTTAATGGCTTTAATATTTTTTTGAAATATTTTCATTTTGATAAAAAATATTTAAACTACATAATATCCAAAACCAAAAATATTTTAACACACATTTACACTAATGTCAATGGTCACTTTATTATTCAAAATTCACTTTTTAGTTTTCTAATTCTTCAGTTTCTTTATTTAATTTTTTTTTTCATTTTTTCGGTAATTGTCTTATTTTTATATAACTTTTATTGTCTTATATTAATAAATAGTCCTAACACAAATATAAAATAAATATGTACATATGTACATAGTTGAGAACTAATCGTTTTCTGTGATAAATGATCTTATTCTTCCAACGTTATTAGCTTAAGTAAACTATGTACATTAGTTCAAAAACTATTTATTTCTACTTAGCCGAAAGTTGATTTTTTTATAAATACATTTAAGTATTAAAAGTTTTATATAAATTTTGTACGTGTGCAAGAAAATAAATTTTTTTAAAAGAGTATAACATTTTTATACAAATAACACTAAAATATTAGATTTTAATATTTTATGAATGTTTATGTATATTGTTATTTTTATTTTATATTTATCTTTATAAAATTTGATATGAAAATCATAAATTGTGAACAAATACTTTTGCAATAAATTAAATACTTTTTAAATCAAAATTGAAATTAGCTTCCATAGTTTGTGTCCATTTATTTTGCTAATTATTTTTTATCTCTTCGCTCCGCATGATGCAGCAGAATAAGCTTATATTTTAAATCAAATAAAGCTAAAATGTATTTTATTTTGCACAAGTGTACAAATATTAACACTATATTAAATTATATCACTCATGTAAACGAACAATCGCCAAGAATTTGTTTACTTCACAAAAACGCTTTTAAATTATTACTATCACCGTCCTGCCGAACAATTTTTTGAAAATTATTACTGAATCGAAACATCCAAAAATTCTTTTGTTTTTTTTTTAATTGTACAAAATTTAAGTGTTATTTTGAAGATACTTTTATATATTTCATCATTCGTGTTTTGCTAATACGAATTACAATAACTTTCCAATTCTTCAAAAATCCTTGCTTTTTTTTATTCAATTTTGTTTTTCCATTTTGTTTTTTTGTTTCTGTTTTTTTCTTTGGTTCTGTGTTTGTGTTTGTTTCTCATTTTATTATAAATTACGTGTCCAGCATCACACGCACACACTTTACTATTGGATTATGATCTAGACCAACTAGTGGTGGTGGCTAATCTAGATAATATAAAACTTGATTCCTACTCCTCCTATTTGTTTACATCATCATCATCTGCATCAACTTCAACATCAACATTATTACCAACAACGTCATATTGTACTACTAATACGTTTACAACAACAAATGGCTCTGTAACAACCACTTGTCCTCCATTGAACTATTTTGAACATCGTTGGGTTAATAATATTAACTGTGACAATAATATAACAACCGATACAACATTGGGTAATGGTACAATACAAAATTTCTCTAACAATTCAACCTGCTTAAATTCACACGCACTGAATAATAACAATTTTAAAAATGTGCTTATGGAATTTGGTTCTAAATGCCATTATGGTGAAATTGCAAATCAAATAAATAAAAAAAACTATAACATTAATACTGTAATGAATGCAACTAATGCAACTACTAATAACAATTATGACATCATACTTGACTATTCTTTAAGCAGTAGTAAGTTTAAAATACAATAATACTTTTATTATAAGAAATAATATTGTACATTTTTGGTTTAATTTATATTTTGCATGCTTCGTTACTCAAATTTTTCAAAATTTTGACTTAAATATTTGATTTTTTGAAGTCTTGTTTTTTAGGCAAATAATTTAAGTTTTAGCCATTGGCTTATAAATTTTTAAAACAATAAAATTAAAAATTGTTTATTTTGTATGTTAGAATTCAAAAGATTTGATTTATTTTTTCTGTACCATTTAACTTGTCTAATATTTTAATTTACTATCTACATAAAAAGCAATTTAAGATCATAATCTTCATCTTTATTCACAAAAAACGCATTTACTAATTGTTTACCAATTCAAAAATATATTTATTTTAACTTTTAATTGTAGTCGATTTTGCTTAATTTAAAGTAACTTTTACATAAATCGACATTTCTCTAGAATTTTACAATTTGTTAAAGAAGAAAACTTGTTTTCTTTGAGTAGAATTCACTTATTTACATATATTTAGAAAAGTGTTTATGGTGATATTTTTATATGCATGTTTGCATGAAATTTAAAACTATATACAGCACTTAATGTTGAAAGCAAAACAGGTAGATTTAACCGAAAAAATTGTAATTTTATGTTATACGTCATCCTGTAGGGAGCAAAAAACAATTTGAAGAGAAACAGAATATCGAGATTCATACAACAGCAAACGAGCCTGGCGAGGTTGATTCATCCACCGAGCCATCAAAAATCGAAGATGAGTCAGCTAAAGCAAATGTATCAACAAAATATGAGATCGGAACAGAAAAGATCCTTAATGACATTGAATTCATCGGTAGCCTCAGTAGCAGCCACAATGAAAACAGTTCAACCGAATTTGCAGCATACCCAACGGCACCATCAGAGCCATCAAACGATGATGATGACAGTTCCGCAAAATCAAAAACCACATCTATCGACATTGAATTACCGACATTATCAAAAACAACATCAACTTCCGGAGAGGAAAAACTACCAGTCGTCGACATTAGTTTAGGATCTAGTACAATTTCGATAAATTCAAAGCCAATTTTTTCAACAAACACCCCAAATCAACTTTCGATTAATGAAAACACAAGTAAGCTAAATGAAAATTTTATTAAACAACTTAATAGTTATTCAAATGATTATCTAAATATGGGACCGCCGCCAACGACGTACGTAGTTCCATTAAAAGAGACTCACATTTTTACACCAACAAAAAGTGATAATCCGATTTCGCAAAGTACTGGTGGAGATTTTAGATCTACATGCAGTCAAAATTCAAATATTAACAATTCTAGTGGCGGTATTGTATGCAGCCTTATTGAAACAGTCGATTTCGATTACGAGTCCGCAGCAGCGGGAACAAAAATTAATGAAAAAGTTATAAAAAAAGAATATCACGATATTGAATATGATCCAGGTAAGTTTGGCCTAAAACCAATAGATTTGCAATTAGCCGATAATATTGGAATAAATAACGCTCAAAATAAAAGCAAAGATGCAAAAATTAGTGATAATAATTGCTTAGACATTAATGATTTAGAAGAAAACACAAATTCAGCAACCAGTTGGACATTTGATTTGAAGAATTGCACTAATGAAACCGAGAAATCGCAACCTTTAGGGTCAGATGTTTTAAACAATGATCGATCGAGTCCAAATCCAACTATATTTTCTTCTAACCAACCGATTAAAACTCAAACAACGGATATTTTTACCGTTCACCATCATAATGAGTCAGTTATGCCAAGTGATATAACAGTGTCAAATAAAAAGTTTGTTGTTGATTTTGAAAATATTACAAATGCTGAAACTACAAATCTTGAAAAAACTCAAAATTTTGGTAGTACTGATTTTAAAGAAATTTCCAGTAGCTTATCAAAAAATAACTGTGATAATTTTGACGACGAGTTTACAGATTTCCAGTCAGTTTTACCCTCGCTAGAATATAAAAATAATTTTGCAGATCTAACACGTTCATCGTGTAATTTCAACCAAAAACATGAAGATAAAAGTCTAGACATAAATTCAACATCAATAAGTGCATCGTTCAAAGAAAATGATAAGAGTAGAAACCAAACTCCAACTTTACCATGTGATGATCGAATGATTCTTTCGCCAGCAATTTTATTACCTCAGTCAGTATCTGTGAGTCATTCGAGTTGTTTAAATGAAACACCGAAAATTGAGTGGCCTCAACCTGGAATAAGCAACGATGATCTGGCGCGTTTAGAAAATTTTTTCCCCCAAATGAAGTCATCTCCTGTAACAAGCATGGGTAATAAATTTTTAAATTATAATATAAAATATGTGATTGTAATTTATTTTTCACTTTTCAAAAAGATAATACCAGCAATAACGACGACGACTGGTCTGATTTCATGTCAGTTCCCCCACAGAGCAATTTGACACTACAAAATAATCCATCCCCCAAAATTGTTCATAATGAATCAAATTTAAATATTATTTACAATCCCCAATCTCCTACGAAGGTTTCAAGTAAACGTACCACATCACATTTAAATAACTCACATGATGAAGATGAATGGTCCGATTTTATTTCAAGTGCCCCCGTTTCTTCAAATTTAGGAAACCCCAACAGTAATATGCTTCCCGGAAATCAACATCAATGGAATAACATTATTAAACCAAATAACTGTTTAGCAACCGGTCAACAATATCATAAACATAATAATATTTTTGTGCCAAGTCAACAACAAGAAAAACAATATGGATATTTAAATAGCAATAACAATAAAATAAGTCAATATCTTTTAAATAACACATCAGCAGGACAGACAGATAATCACATAAATAGTGGAAGTAATAACATGCAATTAAATTCTTTGAAACCAAATGATTTTATACCTCATCATCATTTACAACACCAAGTATTACAAAAACAACAAAAAATTTTAACACAATCAACAAACAATGGTAGTAATATCATTGGTAATAATATATCTTTCATACCAGATCTAGGTTTTAGCTCACCACAAAATCAATTTATCAATATCACAAAGAGAAATTACCAACGTAAATGATTGTTAAGGTATGATAGGGCTTCGAAGAGAAATTTAGAGGATGTCGTATTGTAATTAAAATCTTTAGCTATATAATTGTATAATAACTGTATTATTCTTAACATATTTTATGAAAAACAAACTTATTCAATATTTCGAAGCCAAAGTATTATTTTAACAATTTTTTGACTTGATTGATTTTACACCATTTATTTAGCAGATATGTATTATAACGCAAGATATTTATGTTTAAATTTTGTATATGTGAAATATTTTTCTTTGGAACTGAAATGTTTTGTGTTTGCATACTAGCTTACACTACACGCTTTTTCTAGTTTATTGTGCTATTATAAATTTTAAATCGAAAATCAATCTTTTCCCGGAGTAAATGTATCAAAATTTTTATTATTAATTATTCTTTAAGCTATTAACTATTCTTCGTTGCATAAATACAATAATCAATTCGAAAAAACTAATAAATACATTTTTAAGTGAATAACTAAACCGATAAGCAAAATAAGTTTTATAAAAAGCTTAAATTTATTTTACATGTGTACATGCAATATGTATGTATATATGATATACATACAATATACCATATATTTTGTTTTATTTTGAGTTTTCTGGCTGCATTGTAGTATTTTTCCTATAACACCTAAAACATAAATCTTTGAAAAGTTTCAATATAATTTTTCTCAGGAGTTTTCTTTTTCCCCTTGTAATTTTTTTTGAATATAAAGGTTTATTAATTTTTTATTCAAATATTAAGTCACCAATTTAAAAATTAATACAAAAGCGTAGAAAATATTTTGGAATTCAATAAAAAATAATGCAATATTCTTGAACATTGAAATTTATTGGAATATTTTGTAGCAATATCATAATTATCATTTTTGTTGACAAAACTTCTGACGAAAATAAACGAGTTAAATAGTTGTACAATAAATGAAAAAATGTAGGTGGTAGAAATAAGAGCAACCAGATAAGAAATAATAATAAGAAAAAAAAAACATTCCATCCTTTTAAATTTAGATATTAAATATTTATGTGTATATTTATGTTTGTACTTTTTAAGTTAATTATATTTATTTTGTTTTTTCTTGTTATTTTATTATTACTTAAAAATGTTTATATTTAAGGTACAAGTTATATAAATAATTAACTAATAAATATTAGTCAAAATATATTAAGTCAGTAGGAAATACATATTAGTATATTTTAAAAATTTTAAAATGCAAGCAATTAGAAAGCAAAATGAGAAAATGTTCTAGTTTCGGTCATTTTTATACGGAAAATGCTATAATACATTATTCAATTTTATTTTCATTATTGTTTTATTATATTTATTCACATGCTTCGAGCATATCCGGTATTTTACTTGCAATTTATTTTTTAATAAGAAATTTTAGATTTATACGCTTTTTAACATTTTAGTTATTTGATTGGACTTAACCATTTCAGGAATGCCATTATTCCTAATGATAAATAGCATCGTTCAAAGTTACATTGCAATTTTTTTCAAAATGAATATTATAGATCATAATATGATCGAAATTTTAAAGTATCTTGAACAAAACTACTTTTTAAATATAATATAATTAATTTAATATATTACTATAGCATACGTAATGTAATATATAATGTATAGTATATGATATATAAAACATAATTAAATAACGAATAATTTGGTAAAAAAAGGCAATATATAATACATAATAATGTAGATATATGCATATTATATTCGTATTAAAATAGTCATTGCTATCTAACTGTACTGGAAATCTTCCGGAATGTAAATATAATGAAAAAGTTATATCCGTTAGAATTCAACATATACATATGTACATGTTATATTTCAGAATATATTTTAAACCCTTACAAAAACGTTAGTTAACATATAGAACTGTTCTTAAAACTCTTAATTTTACTTTAGAATATACTTATGTACTTAATTTAAAAAAGAAAATAATTGCAGATTTTATTTAATATAAATCAATAATTAATAAGCTATACTGCCTAGAAAAATCTTGTTTTTGTAATAGGTTTTGGAAAAAATGTAGGCTTTGAGTAGATTTCAGTAAAATAAACGAAAATATTAGAAATTAACTTATTCTGAAAAAAAAATAAACTATAATACAAAAAAAACTCGATCGCCATTGAGATTTTAAGTAAGATTTAAAACAAAGGTAATTTTCGATAATTCAAATATACACTTTAAGTTCTATTTCAAATCTTGAAAATCTTTTTTCTTTCATCATTACAGATCTTCTAGAACTACCAATAGTTTTCTTTTTCACATTTTTAACTGTATTAAGATTTGGGGCATTTAAAAAGAATGTTTAAAATTGCCCTAAAACTTTAAGTATACTACAATTTTCGAACGCGTTTCTTTTGCAGAAAACATTTACCAAACATATTGCATTTGAAGATTTTGTAGTTTTGATTTATCAAACTTGTTTTATGCTAAGTTAGAATTCAAAATCCCCAAAAGATACAAAACGCACGAAATTATTTTCAACGTTAACCAAGTTTATTTACGTAATACACTTGAATTTTATACAAATAAAGTCAAATATTCTTTAATTATTCAAAAATTCAATCCTTATCTTATTTACTTGAAACATTATATAAATTTTGAGTTTAAAACAATTAGAAGAAAATATTTATGTATATTTTATGTTAATTGTCTGAAAATATCAAAAATGTCAATTATAACTCATAATATTAATCAATATTAGTTAAATTATTTTTTAACTACCTTCGATCGTGAAACAAAATTTAAAAAATATTATTTTTATTTAACATAAAATATAAAATATTCTATAATGAAACACTAATATTTCATTAATATTAAAATGTTACCATATCACTAATCAAAGATTTCAAATCTTTGCTTTACCAAAATACTAACTTTGGTCAAATTTTGTTTGATACACGTTCAATATAAAACTTACTTTGTCCAATCAGATTATTAATGGAATTAATGCTCAAAAATTGTAAAAAAATTTTTATATGTATATGTAAATATTGAAATTAGATGAATTTATAATAAATATATTAATGGTAATTTTAAACTTTGTAAATCACTTTCTTTATATTTATATTTTAATCAAAATAAAAATATATTATTAATGATAATATTGCAAATTTTTTTTTTGTAACTTTATTAAATTATTTTTTGATTAAAAAATTTATTTGATAATTATTCGTTACATTTCCTATGTATATATGTTATGATCAAGTTGTTTAAAACAAAGTTATTCATAAAATAAAAAAACAAAAAAGTAAAAGAACCTGTACACATAAATAAATAAAAAAAATAATATGTTTTAGATATAATTAACATACAATTAGATGATATAAATAAATTTAATATAAAAATGAATTAATAAAGTAAAATAGTTTGTCAAATTTATGATTCCTTTGTTTAATTATTCAGTTGTAGTTTTCTAATATCCTGTTCAGGCTCTAAGAAATTAACACGTAATACTTTCATATACGACATTAGCTGTATTTTAAATTTTACTGTGAATAAGGTATAAGAAATAGTTTTAAATTATCTTGTTTCTCAGGCAGCAGATATGTTAAATGTGAATTTGAAAGTAATAAGCAGATACGAGGAGCAAAAATCTTATTAGTATTCTATAAAAAATTCAACAGTCATGTATTAATATTAGAACATGAATTATTAACTTTTAAATTTTATTTTCATTATATTTTTTAAATTTTGGAATATGCAATTTTATTAAATTATTATATTCTGTATCAGCAATTATAATCATTTTCAAATGAATTAATTAAAAAAAAATTGCAGAACTAATAACAAACTAAAGACTCAGTTTTAATAGTTATTTTCTCGTAAATTTATTATTTTAATTAAAATATTATTATGTTTTACTTACCGTATTTAAATAGAAAAATTTAATAAATGAAATCAAGTTTATAATTCTGTTAACAAGTTATAATATTTATTATTTTAACTAATTTATAATATACAATTAATAATTTTAATAGCACATATATGTATATAAATATATATGCAAATTATATATCTTTATAAGCAACTAATTAAATATTCTTCACAAATCACTATTAAACATTTAATATACATTGTGTTTAACAATAATTTTAGTTAACGATTTCATTTTTACAAATTATTGAAACCGTATATTGGGAGCTATTTAAAAAATAAATTGTTAACAAAAAATGTATGTACTAAATAATTTAAAGTCATTTACCATCGGACGAATTTTTTATCATCATTTGTTATATTTTGTTTTTTACTTTTTTTTTTAACTCGGTGTATAAAATAACAATATTATTTTCATTTTCTAAATATTTAATATTATAATTTTATTAATATCAACTGTGGTTTTATTTAAATAAGGCCTTGTTTCTGTTAATTTCGTTGCTCATTTATAATTGTTGAAGGTTTTTTTAAATAATTGTATTATAGTTATAATAATATATAATTAATTTATTAATTTTACTAACAGTATTTTATCTTTTCCCCTTGATAGTGAGTAATTTAGTTTATATTATGTAATTCAGTTTAAAATTTATGATAAAATCCTTAATTTATTATATCTTGTTTTGAGATATTGGTATACTCATAATTGTATTCATTTATTGGTTTTGTGATGCTAATCACTATAATATGTATATATTAGTAAAAATAACTTTTAGGCATTTTTGGTGAATAATTTTCCACAAAATTTTTTCTTTGTTATTTTATAATTACATAAGAACTATTAAATAATATAAAAATTACAATATTATGCGTATAATTTTTTTTTGTTCTATATTTTGTGTTGAAACTTTTTATAGAATTTAGGCACTTGTTTTTAAAATTATGTAAGACAAAATTAAATAATAATAAATTAAATTAAATTTCAAATTATTTCAAATTGTATGTTTGGTGTCATATATATATATATACATACATATATTAAATTTTAATAATAATATGAAAAAATAATGAAAATAATAATGTAATTAACAATTTTAATAAATCTACCAGGTTTTATAAATTTAAAGAAATTATAAGAAAAAATTTAAGATTTAAATTTAAGTTTTGCACAGTTGCATTTTAAACTCCTTTCGCATATTTTATATTATTATTAACTATTTTTAACTTGAACTATACATAGATTTGAACTACAGAACTACTAAGTGAAAATTTAATATGAATTTTTTTGTTACAAACCAAATTTTCATTGTGATTTAATTATTTTAAGTCATTACAAACTGTATGTATTTCATAATAATCTATAACTATTATTATTTTAAAAACGTTTACAACTTATTGAAAATAATTTTGAGTATACCATATACTAATAAAATTGACAAAAGTAGGTTCATTTTTATAGTATTGTTTTATTACAAAAAAAAAAGGAAAAAAATTATTTTAAATAAATTTAAAATTTAAATATTAATTCAATTTAATTATTTTTTTTTAATTTTATTTAAATATAATAAATAAATTTAAAATTAATATAATTATATTAAACTAAATTAAAATAATTGAAATAATATTGTATCCAGTAGTCGAAATTTTAGAAACTCATAAAGTTCCGTCAAAGTTCCCTGCAAATTCGGGTCCAAATACAAACAAAAATAAATTACAGAATGCCGTAACGTACCGTCATCAGTAATAATTTTATTTTATTTAATTATTTGCATATTATAGTTTTTGTTTTTAGACATTCCGAGTATTGAATAGTTTTACTACTGAAAATGAATATATTAAAAAAAATTTTATAATTTAATCTTAAAATATTGAAAATTATATATAATAATATAAAAGTTTTGTTATATCTTAAATATATTGTATTTTTCTTTTCTTAAAAAATTCACTTAAACAATATTTTAACTTATAGAATCTACAGAATCTCCGCTACTATCAATGTTATAGTAATCTTCATCATCAGAATTTTTTAAAAGAATTTTATTATTTTTTTTATGATGTTTTTTAATATTTGATTTTATTAATTTTCGTATTATATTTTTATAATTAATTAAATCAGAACTATGAAAATTAATTTTTTTATATCTTTTTTTAATATATTTATTTATAGGATTATAATTAATGTTTCTATCTTGTTGCAATTTTTTAAATTGAGCTTTATTAGATTTTCTAATATTATTAAAATTTCTTTTTAATTTTCTTAATTTTTTTCCATTATTAAATAATAATTTTTCATAATTGTTATTGAATTTATAGGAATGTTGTTTATTTATTTCAAATGAATTTATTAAAGGTTTACTTCTCGTTACCCTTGAAATAATATCAAGATTATTATTAATTATTGTTTTATTGCAATTCGAATTACAATTTTCTAATGAAGAATTTTTATTCAAATTACTTGTAATATTGTATGTAAAATCTGTAAAATTTGAGTTTTCTTTCGATTCAAAAATAACACTATTGTTATTTTTAATATTGAAATTATTTTTAAAATTAAAATTATTATTTAATTCAGGCATAATAGTAAACCATGATTGAAAAGAATCTGATTTATTTTTATCTTTATTATTATTTAATGAGTTTTCAATAATTGGTATTAAATATGTAGTTTCATTTTCTGATTTATTTTCATCTTGGTCTAGATTTTTTATATATGAAGTTAAATTTGAATTCAAATTATTACTAAAATTATTTGAATTCGTAAAATTATATAAAAAATTTTCATTATTTGTATTTGATAAATTTCTAAATTTTTTAATATTTAAAATATTTTTATTATTATTTAAAAGTTGTTGATGATGATGTATTAAAATATTTTTATGAAAATCTGAATAATTCATAAATTTTTGTTGATGCAACATAATATTCAATTGAAGTTGTTTCTGTTCTAATTGCCATAATTTTAATTTTTGTTTATTTTGCTCTTCCATTAGGACCTGACGATGATGATAAAGAATTCTTTTATAAAATTCTTCAGCGCTTATTTCTGTCGATGAATTAAATAATTGAATTGCTATTAATTCTGGTATAACAATTTTATCTGAAAAATAAAATAAAACAAAAATTACTATTTTATTAACGTATAATAAATAACATTAGTATATGTATGCGTATATAACAAAAAATATGATAAAAGATCACTTTTAAAAAGTTTCTAGTGATTAATTTACAAGTTTTAAAAGCATTATATTTTTAGTTATATTGGATCAAGAAATACAACCTTTCAAAAACTCATCCAAAAACCATTCAAATTTTTAATTTTAATTTTTTCCCAATATATTTTTTTCAAAAAGGGAATTCATTAATTTTATTCCTAAATTTGTAGTCGTTTACATAATTACAATTTTGAATGGAAAATGCACGCATATTTAGATATTAATTAAAATTTTTAATAAAAAATAATTTTTATTTGCTAAACTTTGACAATTGAAATTTTTCTACTCAGTATGAATCGAAAATTACAATCGATTTTGACATATAATTCAATAACAACAGTAATAATGTAGTTTAATATTTTACAATGTCCCTAGATATTAAAATTCATCAATATTAACTGACTTTAAATAAATGACTGTAAGTATACTTAATATTATAAAATATCGTTACTGCCCATGTAGCACAAATTTGTGTTCATACCAAAATGTATTCTTATAGTTATAAGAAAACACATTCAAAATTTCAAAAAATTTTTCCATTTTCATTCAAAATTTCAAAAATATTTTTTAAATAAACTAAAATCTGTATAAGAGCATTTACATACATTTATTTAAATGTAAGATGAAATCATTTATTATTTTAATTTTACAAATTTATTTAAAAGCACATATAAATATACTTTCATGAAAAAATAATATGTTTTTTTCCTTATTATTTTTCCAATATTTAAATGCAGAAATTATGCAATTTTGATAACATAATCAAATATATCTTACTATTCATTTATATTATATATAACTCTATGATATAAATGAAATCTATGTACACATACATATGCATAGAAATATAATATATATATATATATATATATATATATATATAATAAAATTCATTTAACTTTGAAAGTAAAATATAACATTAGAAAAAAAAGCAGTATAACAATTGCAATAATAAGTACAATCGTTATTTTTTTTTTTTAAATTAGGTCAAATATTTTTTGATATTATCTTTTATAAGTACATATATGGATGTGTATGTGTATATAAATAATATTATATGCATAACAATAAAACGTTATTATATAATCTAAAATATGGCATTGTAAATTTTTTTTCTTGCATTTTAATAGAATTATATACCAGTTTTATTTTAAAAAATGCACTTATATTTTTTTTTTTAAAAAAGATTTTTATTACAATTTTTTTTAAATAAATCATTTAATTTCATTTTTGTTATCTAAGTTTACACCATCTATATATATACATATTATACACATATATGTTATATAAATAATATAAAAAAATATAATTGTATAGAATAGATTCTTTTATTATTTTTTCAATTTTAGTATTTTTTTAATTTACTATTATATTACTACATACGAGTAGTATAACTTTATTTTAGTCGTAAACAGTAATAATTTTGTCTTACCACAAATTGCTATCGGTGGATGTTGAAAGGTCTTTAATTCATTTGGATCCCATACAAATAAATAATAAATAGATAATATAATTGCTGTTAATGATACACTTAATACATATACAGCTACTGTTAATACACGTATACCTTTACGATTTCGATTTAAATTATATAATTGATTTAATGTTTCACTTGGGGGTAATTTGATTTTATCATCAATTTCAATTGAGTTTGCATCAGTAAACATTTTTTTATTTCAATATTTCTCTTTAAATAAATTTTTTCAAATAGATTCATTTTATGCGCAATTTATTTAATTTTTATTTTAATTTATAATTTTAATTTTACATTTTGCATTATTATTATATCTAAAATTTAGATTTTAAATTTTTTTCTCGAAAAAATACAATTCTGTTGTTATATAAATTGTAGCAGAAATGCAACTGAATGCATAAAAGAGAAATTTAAAATAAATTTGTTTGTTTTTTTTTTTTTATTCACTTGATTTCATTTAACTATTATACTATGAATATTGTGTATATCCTTCAATATTCTTATTTTGTTATAATAAAAATAGTGTAAAGAAAGAAAACAAAAATTAATCTATACAATTATAAACCTAAAGGTACCCATTTATAATATTTCTATCTATATATGTACATGTGCGAAACATAATAATAAAATTACAAAAGGAATTGTATATATATATATATATATATATGGAAAAAAGTGTAAAGAGAATAAATAAAACAATAAAGAAATGAAAACAACAGAGAAAAATCCTTTCAACTCTCTTATAAATCGATAACATTGTATAGCAAAAAGGATATATGAAAATAAAAATGAAGAAGAGAAAAAGTGTGCTATACTTAACTATAGTTAAATATTAGGTTAATAACCTAAATCTGGGTTACTAGGGCATTTTAATTTTCTTTTATTATATGCAAACATACATACACTATTCAAGTACTATATACATGCGCATATATATATGTATAATAATAAAGTACGTGATGTAAAATTTATTAATATACAATTGGATTTATTTTGAATACATAATTTTTTTTCTCTGTAGAACATTTATGGTTGCACAAACCTCAAAGGCAATTCGTTAATATTAACGTTTAATATTAAAATCTAAGAATATATTTTTATTACATACAAATGAGATTTTGATGAGTTCCGCAAAAATTTTATTTTATGACCTTATTTATTATATAGTATATTTTAATTTAGAACATTATCAGATCTACATAACTTCCTCTTTTCAGCACTTCAAAAAAAATAGAAAAAAGGTGTTTATTAGTTTCACTCTGGCTTACATCCTTTAAGATATAAAACTGAAACATTAGCCACCTTTACTTGAAACTTATTTCTGTAGTTCTTTGCAAAATTTTGAATTTTCAACACCTTGTATTTTTAAAATTGTAAACTTTTCCGAATTTCTATAAAAGTGAAAAGCAAATGGTTAATGTCATGTCATCAAGAAATATACATAATTCTTTAACTTAAGTTTTTTTTTTATTCAAGGGGCCGAAACTCTTAAACCCTTGTGATTTCCTTCCCCATCAACCAGGCCCCTAACAACCTGCAGTATAGCAGCCACATCAAGTCATGAGATCCTCCACGAAGCCATAAAGCCCCGCCCGAATCACCGTAGTCGTAGGTGATCAACTGCCTCGCAATCATATAATAAATGTTCCATCGTTTCGTCCTTCTCCAGGCACAAGCGGTAGACTCCGTCTGCCCATTCTTTTCAGACGGACCATCGAGAGGCAGTGTCCAGTAAGAACGCCCACAAATAGCCTCAAGTTTGGATGACCAAAGATGGCCAGCTTGCGCCCAACCAATCCCAAGGGAGAGTGCGAAAGGGCTTTTCGCCTTTCTAAATTTCTTTAACACTTAAAATTTTTTTCTTTTTTCATCCTAAATTTATGCAAATTTTTGAAATATTTTGGTATCTTAATGAAAGTAAAGCTAGTAGAATGATTTTTAGAAAAAAGATTTTCATTTGTTCAAAGGAAAAGTGCTAATCATTTGATTCGATCCTAATTTATTTCATTAATTTTTCGGAAAAAAATCTGTTCATGCTTGAGTTTATATTGCCTTTATATTGTCTTTAGTTATGTTGTCTTTCGAGAGTATTTTCTTACAGGGAGTAAGGCTCGATTACGTTATGTTAGCAACATAATATCAGTAGAAAGACCAATACTCAATATTGATTCTTATTACTGGAAATTTGAAAATATCACAACCCAACTATCTATTAGAGACCTTACTATTTAAGTAAGTGAGGTGGAATTTTAACATGGACTATCATAATTTAAATAAGAATAAAACATTTATTATTTTAAAATTATATGTACCTTAAATATTGTGACTGTGCGCTCCAATCACATGGTACAACGAAAATCAAATAAAACAAAAGAAGAAAAATGTATTAAACTAAAGTTTGTATGAATTTTATAAAAATGATATTATATGTGATTCAATAATATTATAACCTATAATTTTGATAAAATACAATGGGATCCCTATATGTTGTTATTCCTATATTAATGAAAGGGTATTTTTGAAAATTCAGTTTGAAGTTCTAATTTTGAACTTAAGTAGCTTTACCGGTTTCAACTTCAAATTTGCTACTTGCAGTAGAGCAAATTTTTGTAGTTATTGGGTAAATTTTTCTCAATCTTCCGACATCCTTAAATTTTTGACTATATTTACTTGTAGTTAAAGTAAAACTGCAAATTTGCGCTGATTTTTTTGATATCTTGGTTTGCAGTTTACTGTCAAAATATTGTTACATTTTCGAAAATCCTTTTTTGACAGTTTGCGTAGTATTTAATTATTAAATTTGTTGCAAATTAAGTACATACCAGAATAGAAAATGGGATATGTGAGCATGCTTTTATATGCATGTCTTGAATCTTTTTATCTTTGATAATGCTTTTAATACTTTTGTTTTATGAAATGTAAAAGAAAACTTTCAAGCGGTAAGATTATTTCAATACTAACAATAGTTTGGTAATAAATCTATTCAAAATTAAATTTTAATTATGAATTTTAAGTGAAAATTTTTACTGTTCTCGCAGCAAAAACCGCAAAATTGAGTACGCATAACTATTAAGGTTTGAAAAATAAATGTCAAAAAAGTATTTGTTAATTTCCTTAGGTTCCACATTGATTTTCACTATGATTTCAGGAATCTAAATAACAAATTAATGTTTAGTGAACAAAGAATAACTTTTCATTAAAATTTCAAGGTGTTTTTTTATTGTTTATATGTAGACGTATTTTTGTGTAGTACTTATATAATAATAAGAGTAAGTAATATGTAATTCTAAATATATGCGGGAGTTGGTTTTTTTCGTATAAAATGAATTTGCAATAAATTATGTAATATGAAAATGAACTTACAAGAAAAAAATATTATTTAAATTAAACAAAAAAAAAGTAGGTAAGTGTTTTTTTTTTTTGTCTCTTATTTCATATACATATATAGGAGGAATAGGATCTCATAATAAATATATTTTATGTAACCAAATACATACACAAATATAAGAAAATTAAATTACACACTTTTGTAGGCATTTCAATTAGAAATTATAAATGTAATGCGCAAAATATATTTAAACATACTTGGGTACAGAAATATAAAAATTATTACAAAATTAAAAATTGTTTATATAAATTATATTAGTTGTATATATATTTTAATTAATGAACATTTTAAAAATAATGCAATCAAATATTGAATTTCTTGTTTTATTAATTAATACTGAAATAATTAATAAATAAGTATTTTAATATAATATTAACATAGGTCAAATAATTGCAGTAATATTATATATTATGTAATCTATGGCTGCACGAGATAATTAATCTATATATCAGAAGGATATATCAGAAAATTTCATAAACGCAATACTGCAAAACAATAACTGCAAAACGCGATATGAACTGGAAATGCGTAATTGTGATGGATATGAGATTTAACTGTGCTACTCACAACAATTTCGCTATATTGCAAATAATTAAGCAATGTTTATTAACATTTTTGATATTATAAACATTAGATTAGCAACATTTATTTATGAGCATAAATATACTGCAGATATACTGCATTTATGAAGAAGGCTACACGATAATAAAACATTAATATTAGTAAAGCCGCGGTTATGCTGCGGTTATGAAATTGTCTACTACAGTAATTTCAAGTATTGAAGTAAAGGAATTTCAGTCAAGTATATAAGCTTCCCTTTCAATTACGTAAATTTATATTAAACTTAAGATTTTTATTTCATGAGAAAATTATTTTGTATATTATTAATTGAATATTAAAATTAAAGATGTGGAAAGAATTTTATGAATCTTTGTATTTAAGCTATATAGGGCAATAACTATATCAAAATATATGTATGTGCCATTAAATTTCTTCACTCAAATTTTCAGTGACAACTTTATGTTACTTAAATTAAAAAAATTTCATATATAAATTTTTTAATTTCAAGTATTCACTCAGTAGTAATTATTTTCCAAAAATTCTGTTCTAATATAAAACAGAATATCTTCTATACGTTCAAGCACATTTTAATATTTCATGCTGAATAATCGCATTAATTGTAGTAAATAAAAGTACGTTATAAAAACTTATTTGGAAATGTCGAAAATCAAAATTTAATTCAGTGAAGAATTAAAATGTCTTAAAAAATTTTGTAATTGCAATTTCTCAAAACTACAATATTTATATACATACATATATGTTTTATACGTATTACAACATAAATTTTACCTATATATGCATGTACAACAAAAACTATAATACAGGTATTGTGGACGTTCTGAGTATCGAACCACAAAGTGATAGTGATATTTGTCGTAAAAAGGTCATTATTATTTTTGCAAACATAGATACAAAAAATTTATATAAATACATACGAAAGATTCGAATCTATATAGTCAAGTTTTTGAACAGTTTACGATATCTCTACATCAACTATACTGATTCCATACTAAGAGCAAGTTTAATTGTACATTCCAAAACAAAAAAAAATTTAGAGTGCCCAGTTACAGTTTCTTCTTATATATTTTTAATTTTAAATTGTTATACATAATTGTTATACACATTGCTAGTGTATAAAATTAACCATCAACATACTAAAATAAAATGTAAAAAAATAAAACGCATGTTTTTTTTTTTTAAAGTTCAAGGTTTCTTTCTTTTCGGTACATACCTAAAATACGTAACTATGTTTATATAAATACACATATGTACATACACAATAATAAGGTATAGTGTAAGAAATTAATTAAATATTCACCTAAAAACATACTTTCAACTCAAATCAATTTAATTATATTTTACGTATAACATTTTTAACACGTATATGAATTTACTTCCTTCCCGTTAGTTGTCATATATACAGTCAGTTGGCCATCAACGTGAATTTGAAATGTTCGTATCCTTGTAAATTATTTTAAAATCCGATTACATTTTTTTTTTACATTTTTTCTATTTTATTTATAATTTTCTATATTATTTGTCTACTCTTCTATTTTTCTTTAAATTAATATCACTTTCCCTTTTTTTATTAGTTACAAATAAAAACACGAAAATATAAAAATCATTTTTTTTTGTTTTGTTTTCAAATTTCTAAAGTGAAACCATTCAAGTTTTCGAATGCATTTCTAAACATTTGCAATATTTAATAAGACGGTAAATCAAAACGATATTGTATATACCAGTTACATATGGAAATAATTTTACGATAAAGTTGAGTATTTAAAAATCATACACTGAAATTAATTCGAGGTGAAATAGATAAAAATTTTTAATATAACCTTGCCCTATAAATTATTTCATTATGGAGAAAATGACCATTTACTTTTGAAATTTTTCCCTAAATCTAACGTAATATCCTTGTTTTCTATGCGTGTGTTGCAAAAAATAAAATGCGTTTTCATTACCTAAAAGTATGCAATTTTTCAATAATCGTTCTTTTGTAAATTTTAATGAATTTTCTTCAAATTTGATATGTTTCCCAATATTAATCTATGTTATACGTTTATTTTAGAATGATTTAAATAGTTAAGTAACTGAGAAGAAATAAAAAATTTTATAGCAATAAAAATCCTGAACCAATTCAAAATTATTGTAAATAACATTCCAAAAAAAGGAAAAAAAAATATATAAAATAGTGTGTAAATGGTAAAATATAAAAATTTAATCAAAATTTTTAAAGCAATTTAATATTACAAACACATTATATAACAGAATTTAGATTATATATAGCACCATAAGATACATAGTACCATAGGTAGAACATTCACCATAAAATAATATTTGATTACTTTTTTTTCCCACAATTGAAAGTGTATGTTTTATACACATATGGTAACAAAAAAAATCTCCAATTTTAAACCGGTATAAAGACAAAATTTAAAATTTGGGGACATAAATAAAATTTCCTTTAATTCGGTAAAGACTTTTCGGTAAACACTTTTGGTGGTCATTATAAATTTCACACATATATGGACAGTAACAAAGCTGGATTGACATCGCGTAAGACATATGAAAATTTTGACGCTATTTTCCGATATCGGGAAATTAAAATTATGAGAAATCTTAAAATTGCTGTTTCCAATTAATTACACTATGCTTGGCTAAATGAATGTATACTTTCACATTTTCTGTCTAAAAGTTATAAAATTTTAGATAATTCCCATAAATTATTAGAGTTATGAAAAGATGAAATTATACTCGTAATATTGTTATACATGAGATAAATTACGGATATGTATTCGTATAACATTATAAAAATTATACATTTATATAGAATATATTTCCAACTTACATTTTTGGTGTTTATTTATTTTTACATTCTCTTAAGAATTAGTTTTTTTTTTTACATTGGATATGCCGGTTTTGATTTTGGCATAATAAAAACTTTTGGTTTCGATGAATCCCAAAAAAATAAATAATAAAATGATAAGGTTACACCTAAACCAGATACAAAACAGATGTAGACAAAAACCATTGCTAGACGTACTAATTTTGATGCAGCTTTAACAATTGTTGGTGCTTTAACAAAAACTGGACGTTTTAATTCTACATATTCTGTTTGAGGTCGTTGTTGTTGTTGTTGTTGTTGATCCTGTTCTTGATTTTGATCTTGTTCACCACCTTGTTGTTCTTCAGAAATTTTGACTAATTGCTTTTTTACAATAGTATCCATATTTATGATTTTTAAACAATATATATATATATATATATATATATATATATGTATATGTTTAAATGAATGTTAACTTAATTATTATGTTATAATTTAATTGAAAACCGTATGCAATAAATTCACGTTCAAATTGTAACTAAGAATTTTTTAATTTAAATGACAGCTTTTATATATAACGCAAATGGAATTTATTTAATACGAAAATTCTCTAAAAATCATCATAGCATTTTTCAATTCCTTTATTTTCTCTAAAATCAATTAAATCAATCAGATTTGTATGTACAACTGTATGTATATATTGTTTTACTTTATTTTCTGCTAAATTTGCATTTTTTTTTAATAAAATCCGTTTAATTTACTTAATTCTTTTATTTATTTTTTGAAAATTCCATTTTTGTTTCATTGACATTGATAAGAAATAAAAATATGCAGAATGCGTGCATACATGCACATGTATACAATTTACAAACATATATTGCATGTATGGTTATAACAATTACTTAAAATTTTGATATTTACGCACTTTATGCAAAGCAAAAAGTTCCTGAACTCATTGTTTTATTCTAAATTTTCAACTTGTAATTTTTTAGCCGTTAAAATTTTCATTAAAATTTTCAAAAATATTACTATGTGAAAGTATGTGTGTTAAATGCAAAATATTTTCAATTTGATTAAATTATGTTACAATTTTAATATCTTTGCTCTGAATAAAATTAAATTTTTCTCTTAACCCTTAAAGTACCAGGTGTTTTCATTGGATACATTTTGAAATTCATATTTATATTATTTAATTATATAATGATATATCGTACAAAACTATACAAAGAAACCTTTATATAATTTATTGCTATAAAAAAAAAATGATTTGAAATAAATTATTATTTTTATAACGATAACATTTTTTGAACTTTTGTTTTCTTAACTTTAAGAAAACAAAACACCGTCATTGTTTTGCTGTTATCAATACACAAAACAGATAACTCGACAAAGGTGGTTTAGGTACGCAAGACAACATGGTTCATAATTATCCAATAACGAAAAAAAATTGAAAAAGGCCAGCGACTATTTTTCTGCGTTTGCAAAATTTGAAAAATGCTTATGGTATCGCTGTAGTAAACAGTTGAAAAATGGAATTTTTAGGTTTTGGAGGGCTATAACTTTTAGAGGATGTGGAATAATTAAAAATATTTTTCTACGGCAATAGGTTTCTAGTAAAAATCTATGTACATATGAAATTTCAGCTTTCTATCTTCGTAGAGAGAAGTGTAGAGGTTTTGTAAACCTGTCCGCGAACGGAGGGAAGGAGTTAAAGTAATACGCACTTTTTTCAAATTTTTTTTTAGAAAAATACTAAAAATGCGTGTTTGTATGTTAATATAATTTTTCAACATACATACATGTTATATGATTTAAAACTGTAATATTTTAATAATTATTATATACATATTCACATTTTATATATATGCACATTATTGTTATTCACAGTTAAAAGCAAATGTTAAAAAAGCACAGCCATAATGAAAATTTTACTAAATATATTATATAGTATTATGAATAAGCAAAAAATAATTTCTTTTTATAAAAAATTCCGATAAAATGGAAACCTTATATTAACATAAGTGAATAATTTTTAAAAATGAAGTTCATTGTCTAAAAATTTATCCTTCTCAATTCTATTTGAATTCCACTTTATTGTAATATACGCAAATATGTGTAATATATGTAAGTGTGTATAACTATAGAAAATAAATGAATATTTTAAATATTTTTTTCTTTTATTTTAAAATTTCTAATATAGATTTAAGAAAGCAGAACACCTTTCCTTGGTATTTCTAAAAATATTACATTGGAGATGAATGGGTTAAATATGGTGATGCATTTTTTATTTTTTTAATAATTGCAATATTTTAAAATTGTAAGTGATTTTGAAATATATACTCATTCAACAACATTGTTGAATTATTTTAACATTTATTTTTTTATTTATAATTCAGAAATTATTATTGGCCTGTGAAGATTAAGAAATGCACAATATTTATTCTTTATGATTTGAAAATCAAATTAAGTTGAAAAAACTGTCACAAAAATTTTTATACGTTATATGTATTCCATTTTTCCTTATAAGAACTTAAGTACCAAATGAGTAAAATTATAAATATATCTAGAGTATTAAAATTAATTCGAATTTTAACTATGATAGCTGATTGAATTATGACATAAGTATGTACATATTACAAATCGATCCTTTTACGAACTGAATTGAACATAAATGGAATTTTTAAAAAAAGAATGTACCTACAAGTATTGCGAGTTTATAAGCAAATTTTTGATTTTCTTTTTTGAAATTTATCATAGAGAGCTTTTATAAAACTTTATTTTTGATGCTCAAAACAATGAGATTTCATTGCACTTTGAAATTTCAGAGTGCAAATAACACAATTTTGCACTCTCAGGCAAATTAGTCAAATTATATTAAAATTTTATAAAACTTAAATTGAGACTACAGTAAAATTCTAATCCATCAGGACTTTTAACCAAATAAAGAATTAAAATAGCATTTCTGAACAAATCAAATTTATATACAAACCTTAGTTTGACATTTAGTTTGTTTACCTTTGTTTTATTTATAAAATTTTCTGTTTCGAGTTTTAAGTCAACTAATATACTAAAATCTTGAATTATTTTAAATTTAAATCAAATAATAAATGAATATATATATATAACTTACATAATTTCTAATATGATAATTATAGCCATTCCAATTCAGAGCTCAAATGTATTTTTAAAATTTTTTTTTAATAATTTACTCTGACATTATGTGTTCCTATTTGTGGAACTGGTGGCATTTTTGAATCCCAAAAAAATAAATAAAATAATGATAAAACAAAACCGAATCCACTTAAACCAGTTAAATAAACGATTACCGTAAAATATCGAACAATTTTACGATCAAAAAATGAAGATTCTTTCTTTTTTATTACGATTTCATTTCCTTGTTTCGATTCAACTGGAATATTTTGTGTTTCTTGAGAATTTGGCATTTTAATAAAATATAGTTGAAATTTTTTTTTTACGTCTTTATCTTAAAAATACTTCAATTAAACTAATTAGTAAGAATATATTCTTTTAATTTAAAGAAAATAAAAATTACTTAAAATTTGTCCTTCCAATATATATACATATTATATTAGCAGTCATTGTGTGTGTACATATATTAAGGAATTAAGTAGATTATGTCTTAAAATATACAAATTTTATGTAAAAAAGTCTTAAAGTATATAAGTAAAAATGTTCTTAAGTATATTTTTTTATAATATATGGGATATAAAAGAAATGGCTGAGCTTTTTATATATTTTCTTTTACTGAAAAACTTGTATTGAAATTTATTTTTCGTTTCAAGAATTTATACAAATGCGTTAAAATATTGATGACAAGTTGTTTACACATGCATGCATACACACACACTTATACAAGAAAATCATTTTTAAGTTACACACGGTACATGTATTTATATTGTAGCGACACATGTAAGGTATGTAAGCAGTGCAGGATTTATCTACAAACGGAAAACACTGCAGCCGACTGCCTGTGTAAGAAATAGCCTCAATGATTAATAATTTTGTTTCAAAAATTTATAATAAATTTAGCAAGTGACAAATAGTTTATTTATCGACAATATTTGATACCAATAAATTATTGAAAATATCCGATTCCAATTATTTGAAAAAAAAAAAGAAAACTACAAATTTGATATTTAAGTTTGCTTCGCTAAAAAAAATTAAGAAAGTGCTATAAGATAGTATAAAGTCTATTAATTTTAATCGCAATTTTTCATTTTTAAGGGCACCTTCTTAATTTTTTTTAGTAATAGAGGCAATATTAACTTACGATTATTTTTACCTCTTTATTTGAGAAGATAGAAACAATTAAAGCGATTCTCTATTAAATGGACAATCAAAAGCAATAAATGTCAAAAATTTACGTTTTAACTATTAACAATCGAATATTCACTTGTATACTGCAATTAATAATGACATATTATAAATTTTTATAAAAACGTCATTCAACGAATTTCATTAACCTGAGGCTCCTGATTATTGGTGAATCCGCTTCTGAATCTAATCTTCATATTTTATTTACTTATATACTTGCTATAATTTTGACTTATCAAAAGTTTTTTTTACTAAACTAATAGCGTGTAATACAGAATAAGTCGTTATTTTAGCCTTTTTAGTCATTCGTTATTTTTAATAAATCCTTTTAAATTCTTAAAATAATAGTTTCTTTTTAAATACGTGATCGTATGTTAATGTGTACGTACTATACATGAAGATTGCATAATTTATTATTTTGTGAATAATTATTAGCATTATTAAAAAATTAACGCCGTCCTTATTGTATGAAATGCTGTCGGTAAATATATTAAAATTGGTAATCCGTGGTGCGTTGTTGCTATTACTAAAATACTATATTAAAATACTAAAAATTACTATATTAAAATACTATTATTATTTAAATATCAGTTACGTAAAATCTGTATGCTGTATTCTATCTGTATTCTAAACCAACATTCAAAAATTTCAAATATTTAACGGCAGAAAATGTTTTAAATCTCGCCGAGATCCGTATTTTTCCGTATTTCAATTTTAGTATAAAAGTGCTAAAATGAATTCGAAAAATTTACTATAAATTTCGAACCGATAAGTTTATCAAAAAAATTTTTTTTATCTAATTCCAACTTTAAAAACATCACAATACTGCAAATTATAGGAATCGCTTTTGTACATACTTAATTCGCAAGATCAAAAGATTTAATTAAATTTTGTTATTTTGTCAGATGTCCTATATATAAATAAAAACTCCAGTGCCTTTCAGTGTCTCATAAAAAATTCCAGAATAAATTGTGCTCATTTTAAAAGATTTGCATTTTTGAGGAATAAAAAAAGGAAGATCAATAGGAAAAGGAAGATCAAAAGGGCAATATTTCAAAGATTAAGGGCCTGATCATCTATCTCGCTATTTTACTCGGAAAGTAAGAAGAAAGTGGGTAACTATCATATATTTGTATAATGTAATTTTCGAGTGAGAAGAATTATTCGATATTGCGCATCTCGTTTTTTTCTA